AACAGTAATATAGATAAAAGATGATAAAAATTAACAAAGATGTAGTGGGATATTATATAATTCAACGGGGTCTATTTTAGCAAATTTTTCTTATTTCTAAATGAAATAGTTTAAAACTCTGATTCTGGCCCACAGAAATTTGGATTTAGTTCCGAACTCGGGAAGTTATTAAAAAAAAAAATTGCACCTAAATTCGCGCCGGAGAAAAAGATAAAACTGTATAATACATGCAATAAAAAAAGATTCTGACAAATTAAACCAACGGCTCGATGATTGGTAAGGCTTTTAGTATTATATAGGTCGCGTAGCAGCGAAACACAGCCCGTATTTGTAGAGAATATTAAGAATTAAGAATCTTCACGCGTAATTTTAAACCAACAAGAGTTCTACACGTGTCGCGTTGGTGCAGACAACGTGCAGTTGCGCTTTCCTTCTGGTTTCCTCCTTTTTTTCTTTTTAGTATTTAATTTAAAAAACGCATAGCAACAAAAACGTGGTCGACGCAACATGTGGATGGTGGAGTTGTCTTATACTGGGACCCACTCACAGAACTAACGCTGTAAAGACTTGCTCCGTTAGCTGTTTGTCAGTTGGACGATAATACCCTTAGCCTATGGTTTTAGTCACATTTGCCAAATGGAATATTTGTATTACATATTTGTTAGGTACATTTTGTGGATGAGACCATTAGGTTAGGTCTCAAGTCAAATTTGTAATGTTGAATTTAGTTTTTACGTACTCTACACATCAATTTCGATTACGCTTCATTTAGTTTTTATATTTCGTTTTGAGTGTAAAACTTTTGATTATTCAATCAAATTAGCAGACGGTGGGTGGTTCATGGCATTAGTTTATCAATTGTGACGGTCGACATGTGGATTGACTATAGTTTTATGACTTAAGCCCTGCATTTACTTTCTAAATCGACGACTCGTAGACTTATGTTTAAATTTTATTTTTCTAAACAAACAAGCTTTAGTTCCTAGCATGTATCTCTGAATGAATCACGCGTTAATAAGATTTGTATTAGTAATATATATTAAAATGTTGCGAGTATTTTATCATATAGTTTCAATTATAAGATTGTATAGTTTGAACAAAGAGCACTTTGCAATAAAAAGAGTTGAGGTTGTTGACTTAGTTGCAACGCGTTTTTGATTGTTTCTAAATTATTTCACTTTAATTTTTAATGTATTTTTCGTTGTTTAGGAAAAAGTTGTTTTGGACGTGTTTGGTTGATTTCTTGTTAACATTCGATACCAATATTTCTCACCACCATAACCATGACGAAAATCAATCATGCTTACAATTCAGTTCCATTAAAAGCAAAAACATATTTAACATCTCTTTACATATATATGGATCAACCGTAGCCAAAATAATCGTTAAAAACTTCACAGAAAATGATTCTTCATTTTTGAAAAAAAAAAAAAAATTGGTTCTTAATTAAAAATTCACAATCACTTACTTACAATGGTGGTGTACTAATGCTTTTCATTTCGGGGAGATTTTGTTAGGTGGATTTATGCCAGAATTCAATTATTCTCAAATGCGAAATTCTCTAACCATTTTCATTTGACTAATC